TAGTTTTACACGAAATAAAAGGTGGTTGTACATGGCATGGTAGAGCCCATCTCCCAAAAGGAGCACGGTGTCCCAACCATGCTTTGCTCTTCAGAGAATAATGTTTTGGCTGCACATGGCTTGGAGTTAGAGAAATCCTTTCTAAATTAGCCTTGTACAGAAGCTAAGAAAAAAGTTCTACCAAAAGCTCTGTGTCCCAACGCACACAAGAAGCGCAGGTTTCAGAGCAAGCACTGCTTACTTATCTCCCCACTCCCACAACTTAATGAAGTGTGATGCTGCAAAGCAAAGCAAAGCAATCAAGCTCCAACATTCCCCACTTGCAGGCAGCTTCATTACACAACCCTTGCTCATGTGCTGGATAGCATCTCTAATCATTACCAGGCTCCCTCACCAAGGGCTTTTGCTTCATTCAGCATGAACCGAGAACAATGGTCTAAACACTTAGCCAGCCAATATTCATATTTCTCTTTGTTATTCAACGTGTGGGTTCATGACTTCAATTTTCCACACCATACAGTGTTCCCAAAGATCCTTCCCCAGGAGCGTTTTCCTCCTGCTTTTTCAACATGTGTTACATCAATTGGGGTGCCTATCCTTACCAAGGCACAATAAGCATCTCCCGCCCATGGTTCAGGGGTATGAGCAGCACTGCTTTTATCCTGATGATTTATATTCACACATTCCACCTCCAAACCAAAACAAAATGAGCATCCAAACAGGTGGGAAGCAGAGTCAGCTATTTTTAACTCCTGCCAGCTATTCTATTTAGAGGCAATAAAAATCAAATACCTCAAAGAAGCCACTTCAGCCTTAACCACAAACCACACGAAGAACAACTGCAATAAGAAGTCTTCCCTCTTTCCTTCAGGACAGTGGTGAGAGTCCTACTCTTCCTCCCCACCTGCCCCAATTTTTTAAGGATAGAGACAAAATAAACCTGGAGTTACCTCTATCACAGCTGTCAGTATTTCAGATCAGAGCAACGGAGGCACAATTATATTTAACATTAGTACTTTCAAAAAGTGCTGGACGTTACACATGTGGATAATAAAGGTCTGCAAAAGTTCCTGCACAACACCCAGCACTAGTCCCTCGTTGTTACAAGAAAAGGACTATTTTTAGCTTTCCACATGGCTCATGTCCTCCTGAATTCCCACACAATATTCAGCATCTCTTTTGTTACCGTGCAATGCCAAGGGGGGGGAGGGCACTTCTACCAGCTGAATTTGAAATAAAACACTGGAATTTGCTTCAGAAGATCCACAGGGCCCCAACACATCACTCACTCCTTCCCTGCAGCAAGAGGCAGGTGAAGAATGAGAGCCCTGAGCCTGACAACTCCCTGCTGTTAAAATAAACCATTTCAGTTCTTCTCATGCTTCAGCATTAACCACAATCACCAACTTTATCATCCCCTGTATGTGTCGATTTTACCACAGTACTAGTCAAAACATGAAAAAAAAACCCAAAAACCAACACACCCCTACGACAAATGCTTAACAACCATGCCCAGCCACGATCCTCTCTCCTCGGCTGCGTCCATCCTCTCTTTCCTCATGACAACGCTCACTGAAAAAGCTGCAGGTACCGCACAGCTGCTGGGAAAACCCGACGGCACCCCCAGGCTCCCCGATGCTAGGGTGACAGCAATTAAAACACTGTTAGGACACGTTCCTACCTAAGTTCATTATGTCAAACGTAACGCAGGAGCTGAGAAGAGTCATGCCGCACACAAGCTCCTGACTTGACATCACTTACAAGTGCCAGAAGTCCGGATTTTAAAATACTTTAAGAGATCAGCCTACGTCAGAAAAAAGCTGGACTTGCTACATTATTCATTCTCCAATTCCCCCAAAGAAACTCTCCTGTTGAAAACTTTCTGGTTATTCAAAGTAGCACATCCTGTTACACTAGAGGGGCAAAAGTCACAGAGAGAGGCTATTATAAATTCACTTAAGGAACAGCACTGCCTTTGTACACAGTGGGAATACGTGCAAATAAGCACAAAGTGTTAACGCATATTAACGTCTACAGCAGAGCCCACAACAGCAGCTTGCAAGCAGCATCGCTCTGCGACACAGAATTAGGACACTGCCTTGGCAGCCCAGAGGACTTCTCCAGCCCTCTATGAGTGTGTGTCCCCCACACCGAGATCTGTTTCGCTGCATTCTCACCATCACCCGCTGAACTCGGCAGGCAAAGTCTGTAGGCTATTTTTAGGGAGTCCTAGAAACAGCACGGTGCCCTGCTTTCGAGTCCCTCCCATACGGGAAGGGCTGTCCACAAGATGCACGTTCAAAATAACCCCTGCTCCCTACACTACCCTGCGCTTCAGAAAGCGGTATTGAGCCGTGCTTCCCAAATAACAGCTAACGACAATCTCCCATCAATTTTATACCCTTTATAAAAAACAATCAGAAGGCACTCAACAATAAGTTTCAAAACTTTCTTTAAGGTGGCCGGGTAGGGCATCCATCCTGTTATACTCACAATTAAACAGCTCTACTTATCTGTTTTGCAGTTCTTCTCAGAAACACAAATTATGGTTAAATGCAATCTGGCTCAGTCAAAAAACAACAGTCAGGATAAGCCAAGCAAAGCCTTAGGCATGAAGAGATAGCCACCACCATCCTCTCTGACCCGAAGAAATTCGAGAGAGCGCAAGAAGCCAGAAGTCGGAGTCCTCTCTCCTCGCACACCGGAGAACCGAAACAACCAGATGGATGGTACCATCAGCAAGAAGACTGGGCAAGACGCACCAAATTCAAAATTCACGAGGATGCTGGTGAAACCACTTCACAGGAGTGCTGTGTGACAGGGGACATGCGGTGGGTGCTTCTGCTCTTGAAGCCATCAGTACACAGCTCAGGAACCTGCTAGCACGCTGCCTCGGCAAACCTTTCCTTTCCTCCTCTGGGAGCTCATCACCGATTTCTGACAAATGAGCCTTTTCTGCACGTGTGGACAAAATGGTTCTCAATTACAACCGCATTCACTTCAATACCTTGAAGCTGAGGTGCTGAATAGGAACTGAAAAAAAGAATCATTTTTTCTAATCATTAGAAAGAAAGGGGAAAAAAAAAAATTTATTCTCAAGTCTCAAAGGTCATAATGACCAGGAAAGCTATCCTGATCTATTAACAATTTTTCCATGTAAAACAACTGTTCTCATCCAGTATTTAAGTTCAGTACTTCAGTTATACTTGAACAATATTCATCTTCTGCATTTTAATTAAGTTTCCACTTCTATCCAAAAGCAGTTCGATGCATGGAAAAGTAATTCACTAGATAATGTCTTGCCATTTTTAAACATTATTTAAAAAAGATAGAAACATTAAGATGCAAGCATTTAAATAATTACAGATCATATCAATTTAGTCAGGAAACATACCAAGCTTAGCAATAAAAGCTAAAATTAGCTGCAAAATAATATCACCAGACTAGAAAAGGCTAGAAAAATTACCAGAGTGTTCAAGCAAGACTGAAATTATTCAAATCTAAGCTTCTTGTTTATTTAAATCAATCTGCCTGGGAGCCACACAAATCGTTGTGGTAAATTGATTTCCCTAGCGTCTGGTTCTCCTTTCTTAAGAGCCACGACAAGAAAAAGGAAAAGACCAGAAAGACAAGATGAAATCAGCTGCTTCACGATGTTGTTAGGCATTCTGCATTCAGACAGATTAGACATCACAACACTAAACCAAGTTATAAATGTCTCGGCAAGTAAAGGCAACTGGGCACAGTGACTCACGCCGGAGCTGCTAGGTGCAGCACTCAGTTGCAGACCTCAGCTGCAGCATCAAAATCAGAAATGCCATTTTTCTTCTTGGAGACTCATGCAATGCAGCATGGCTAACACACTTTATTTTACTTTACTCCCTCATCTCTGCTATACTTCAGAACACACACCTACATTTTGTACGCACAAGTATATAAAACAGATTTTCGACAAACCTACAGTGTTAATGCCTTTACTGACGTGAAAAATATAGTAGTGCTTCATTCCTAAAAGGTAGAGCACGCCATTCAAAAGAAGTCTTATTGAAAAGCATAACATACTTGATTAAATAAATGCTTAGAGCATTTACCTAAAGAATTGTGCTGGTATAAATGGCAGCTTGTTTTTAAGCTTGACAGGGAAGCAAGATTCAAAAAAAATAATAATAAAAAAATATCAAAAAACCCCTAAAGCAGCATCACACAGCAGTTTCCAAGACTTACCCTTTGCTACGTGCTAACCATGCGGTCTTCAGCAAGAAAAGCCATTTGAGCTTTTCTTCAGGACCAAGTTTTTATGCACACCGAATGAAAGCAATTGCTGTCTGTTCATTTCTCACAGGGGAGCTGCATTTCATATGAAAAGAGTTATCCAGAAACATTTACTATACACATCTGCACCAATAAGGAAATGAGTCATCAACTCACTGGCAGGCCTGATTCATAGCACACGGGTGCGCTCGGGCTATTTAGGAATCTGTGTACAGAATACAGGCGAAAGGCAGATGCAAGCCACCAGTCATTTTAAGAGACTAGATATAAAACACAAACTAATTTAAATGTGGCTTTTTTTTCTTCCTCCGTTGCTTGAGCATAATTCCTTCAAAAGCACAGGACCAGTGTGCTATTGTACACAGCCACAGAACTTTTCACCTGGGTGAATCATAATGTTTTCTTTATATAGCTGGAAGAAAAGCAAACTCTAATGTTTATTTTAACCCTGGATAAAATCACTCATACTTTGTCCAACAGAAAAATCAACACGAATAAGTCTTTAGAGTCACTGCTAAGGCAAAGTTTCCATGGGATTAATAACAAACTACCAAATAAAAATTCTGCTTGCCTTCAGACATGCAAACAAAAGCCCTGTTACAGGACCAAACCAAGGACCTTTCTTCAGTTTACCACACTGATTAAAGGATTAAAACAAAGAAAACCGTAGATACATCTGATTTAAGCTTTGCACTTCCTCACGAGGTGAGATACGGGTTTAAATTAACCTTGCCCCCGGGAGAAGCCTGCGGCACTGAGCTGTAGCACACTTCTCCATAGGTACTCGTCTTCTCCGCCATAGAGCCTTGGCTTCTAATGCATTTTGTATTTTTGAGAGCTCCTTTCAAAAAAGCACTAGGGTTTTTCAGCTTGAACTGCTCAGCTCAATAGCTATATAGAGTCGTTAAGCCAAGCATTTTGCTTGAAAATTCTGACCTTAATGGTAATTCAGAGGCTTGAAAGTGATACCATGGTAAGCAGCCAGATCAGGAAGAGTTTCCCTTAAGCCAAACCACGAAATTACAGCTGATTAGTCTTTAACAGATGAGCAACTTCAAAAAGAAAAATTAAAAAAAAAAAGACATGTTTGATGCTGGATTTTAAAAGTGAGCTCGAAGAGCTTTCTGGAAAGCAATGTTAGTAGAAAGATGTCTTAGTGGTGTACAGGAGAGCCAGACACCTGCCCACAAATCCTTCCAATTACTGTTTCCATAACTCCTACTTAAAAAGCTATGAATAAAGACAAGCTGCAATTAAAAAGACTGAGCACACCTACAGCTTCTCTGCTAATAACGACTGAGAGAAAATAACGGGGGAGGAAGGGAGGGGGGAGAAAAGCAATAAGCTAGTCACTGCCATGCTACACCGTCACTGCAGACAGCTCGGTACCAACACACAGCACATCACTCCATGCAGTACCACCACCAATATCAATGCTAAACAATTTTCACCTGTCAAAATACAGGAATTTAATTAACAATTCGACTGCTCTAGAAACAGCTGGTTATTCTTTCTCCTGATTATTTCTGACAAACAGCAAAATCAATTACAAGACTCAGGAATACAGACCTAAAAACCAGCCACCTACACCAGGCAGGGCAGGCTGGAAGGGCTGCAGGCAAGCACACGGACAGCACTACACCTTCTTCTTGCTATAACCTGAATTTTCAATTATATCTAAAAGAGAACTTTTGAGTTTAAGTATTTAGTAGGCAACAATCATCACTTGATAGAAAATACTTTATTCTAGTCTCTGGTCAATGGTGGTGGTTTCAATTGTTATGCACTATTAAATTAATGGAAGCTACACACTAAAGCAAGGTTTTCCTACCATCTGAAGCCCAGTTGTGGCTGAAAAAAGAAACATGAAGTTACAAATCTCTAGTCCCTACAGGCACAGAAACACCCAACAGGCACTACTTAGTTTTCAGCATTACTTCCAGTATGCTGACGGCAAAGCCCAGACAGTCCTCACTGCAGAATCTGGTAACATGGGGAGATTAGTTTTGACCTGACCAATAAGCAGAATAAACATGTTTTCCCCAGCAGATAACACTTAAGAAAAGGGACTTTCAGAGTCTGATCTGTTCTTATCCAAGTGGCACAGGTACACGATGTGGTTCCCATGTCCAAAAAAAAGGCAGGGGACATTCAGGGGAAAAGCTGACTGCTTACCCTCAGCAGTTTTCCACCCAGTGCGAGCATTTAAATCCCTTGCATGCAGATTTCTATCTGATTTATAAGAAAAAAAAAATGTTGGGGCAGTACAACTTTTGCAATAACAAGGTGAGACCTGAATGCTTTAAAGCGCAGGTCAACATTGCAACCAAAACCACCTATTTTGGTCTCCCGCGATGTCTTTGACTAGCCTTGAAGAGTTCTGGCTCAGGGTGAGAACTAACTCTCTGCTGGGTGAAACAACTTGTCAACTTCAATACAAAAGGAAAAGAAAATTTAAAAATTTACCCACCAGGCTACCAAATAATTTATCTGTGCGTTTTAGGATTACTATACAATACGGAGTAGAGACTGGAGATACGATTGCCCCATGACCATTTGTAAGGAAAGATAAACCCCAGAATACCAGAGGTATTAGATGCATCAAACACATCTTCAGAAAGAAGTCAGATCTTTCTGAGTAACACTGAGAGGTAGGAGCACCCCTGGTAGGTGTGCATGAAGGAGGAGTATCTGGCACAGTAGCAACTGGTACTACCGCCTATGAGAAACATGCTACTTTTTTTTCCTTTTTTTTTTTTAGCAACAATTAAATCTTAGCAAAATATATACTGAAAGTGTGCATTCAAAGGTCCAGTGGTTATCGTTTGGGTAAGAGCCCAAATGTGATATATGACAAGAGTCTGAGGCATCTAAAAAACCAAGAGCAGATGGAGAAGGAACTCAAGTGCAAAATCTTCTCCAGCAACTTCTTCAGCATTCAGATGCAATCCCATGGGGTTTTCCAATCCCCCAGTAAATGGAAAGTTATTGTACACAGTTTTCTATAAACTACATTTGAACTCAGAGGGCACAATAAGGAAGAGACATGACTTACACAGCGAGAGCAAGATTCTGGAATCATAGAATAGTTTGGGTTGGAAGGCACCTTTAAAGGTCATTTAAAGATTGTTTTTTTCTGTGTGTGCATTGTTATCAGCTACATTTTGAAATATGCAGTTTATGGTGAGTTTAGGCTTGGCACCAACTCGAGTGGTTCACTGCGCTTTGCCCACACAATCTAGAGGGTCTATCAATACATCACCTCCATCCTCTGCCCTCGAATACAAGCAAGGACAGAAAAGCTTTACAGCAAATTAAAAACTGCCACGTTCAGACAATTTTCATTTAATCACAGGCCAGGCAATCCAAAAGTAACATATTCAGGCTTCCTGAAGTCCGCAAAATTGAATTTAATAAATTCAGGTTTACATTTCTAACTATAATGTAGCATCAACCAGATTAACAAAGGTATTTTTATAATGGATAATGTAGCAAATCACAAAATTAGCCTTACACTCATGAAGTATTACATGTAACTAAGGTGGTATAACTGTACTGCAAAGAATCCCCACTTAAGACAAGCCTAAGGTCTTCACACCTCTCAAGCTGCTGAAGCACACAGTCTTTCTCTGTGGCCGGCATTTAGCAGGGAGCAACAGAAGGTTTACTACCATGATGCACCGAGGGGCAATAACATGAAACGTCCATCTAACCCTTCTCAGTGATAAAGAGCTTTGCATTGCATCTGAATTACAAAGCAAAAGGGTTTTTTGGTACTTTTTAGGTGTAGTCTGTCAGAACTCAGAAACTAGATGAATAGTTGGTGAATTATAACATGTATCAGCTGACCAGAGGGGAGAAACGATCCAAAACACCCCAAAACCATCCTCCTTGCTTCTCCTTGAGAACTTCTGTACGGACTTTTCTGCTAGTTTCCTGCTTTCCACTGAGCTGAAGCCTCTTGTGACAGCCTCCAGGGTCAGTGCTGCTGGGGGGCAGGATGACATGGGATAAGGGCAAGATTAACTCAAGTCAACCTGAGCTAGCATGGACCTGCTCCCTCAAAACCAAGCCCAAGGCCTGGCTCAACCTGAAAGCAGGCCAAAAGCTAGCAAAAAATCTCTATATTCTCTTCTCTACAGGGCCAGTGAGATTATCAATCTGAAGTCCTGGGAGCAGCTTTTACCGTAAGAAACCAAAGGAGGGCACAAACCTGTGAGGAAGTTACGCTTGCAGGCTGACAGAACAGCTTGGCTGACTCTCAAAAGAGTAATTTTATAAACAAAAAAATCCCGCTGTGCCAGAGTGGCTGCCAATTCTTCAGGAAAATTGGAGGAGAAATGAAAGTGAATTATAGATTAGTATCAGGAAATCTCAGGACTTATTCTGAAGTCTTCACCATACAGCGCACACCTTCTGGTGCTAGATGCACCACGTTTCTCTAATTTCTAATTAGAGAATTCTCTAATTCTCTATGTTTCTCTCTTGCACAGGCAAAAAGCTAATTTGTTCCTTATCAGTTATATTTGTGATTACATTTTAGAGCCCAAGACTTGCAAACCTAGCATTTTACAGGCAACCACCAAGTTGTTAGAGACATGCAACAACCCCAAGGCAGCCCTGACACCAAACCCGACAAACCACCGCGAGAAAGACTGTTTCATTCTGACTAAGCTCCCAGGCTTGTTACCACAAGCGCTAGCACTGTAGTTGCCCACAGATTCACACATTTGCAAGTAATTTAAGATATATAAGGCTTCTGCCCATTTGAACTTGCAAAGCTTCTCAGAGTACAAGTGATGCCACTCCATTTCAGCCATGACTGTCCTATATCCTCAAGTAACCAACTGTTACTGCACAAGAAAACAGCCTTCAGAAAAGCAAGTTGTTCCACTTGTTCTTGCAATGCAAAACTGGGAAGAAAACATATTATTAAAGCATATCTTCTTCTTCTCGTGTTTTCCGTGAACTGTCCTTGACTGATCCCAGCCTCCCCATCCCTAAAGAAGGGCCAAATGAGGATAACCTGCGGAACACAACATCCGCAGCTGTAGGCGGATGAGAGCTCTGCAGCTACAGAAATAAAAACCGCTTCTGCAAACCGAGACTAATTGTGGCTTGCTTTTAGGGAAGGGGGAGGTGAGTGCAACACGACTTGTCCGGTCTAAGGGGGCAAACACTAACTCTGCTATTTGCAGCTCAGCAAGTTATCACAAGTGCTGAGTTCGACTTCAGAACCAGAGGAACAGATTTTTGCATGGAAGTACCAAACATCTGGAATAGCAAATTACCCTACACATTGCTTCAAAACCAGAGCAGTCAATTGCACAGAATTTGGCATTAAGTTTGCTGATGTTTTGCAGTAAGACATCCTCTAAAACACCCAGGTAGTTTCCCACACATTTCTGGAAGACTGCCTCCTTCAATGACTCCGCTGTGCAGCAGGAAACCTTGTCAGAACAAGCGAGATCTTACTAACGCAGGTGGGGCTCGCCGCTAGAAGCCAGTTCTTACTGCCCTTCAAGAGAGGCAAATCAGAGTTAATCCATCAATTATTCAAACTGAAGACCTGATCCTTCGTTCTCATCTTCTATTTAAAGTTTCGGTGGAAGTAGGATTAGCAGAGTGAGGCTTTACACTGGAAAGACAAGAGAGCCACGAAAGGTGTGCAGCATGCAGGCTTTACAGCAGTACCGTAATGTAAGGTGCCGACAAGTGGTTTGCTGAAATGCTTTAAATCTTGTAAGGCAGATTTACACTATCTTCTAAAAAAAAAAAAAATAAAAAATGAAGTACAGTC